TTGATGTAACACCCTGATTAAATGGTTGATTTTTACCAGTTCAATATAATAGATTCTGACTGGCTAACATGATCAAGGGGTGTGAACATTTGTTTATTACAACAAATAATAAACAAGTTAAATGTTGATGCTGCACACCAAAGACGTCGCCAAATGATGTTTACTTTCACAGGTAATATACAAAATCAGCCTTGACAATTGTTCTCTATAACAGTTGAATATCCGAAGCACTAATCAATTTTTCTCCATGTTCTTGGTGTCTGCCCGTTGTTAATAATAATAATTAAGTTGCATTTTTGTGAAAAAGTAGAGTCTACTGTAGTAATGCCATGTTTGAAATTCTGAAATATTTGTCTGTTGCGACAAAGATTGAAAGGCCTGGTCGAAGCAAAAAAAAAGTGGATAACAAATACAAGTTAAAATCAAAGCAGAAAAGGGTGCTGAATTTGTTTGGGTCTCAGAATGTCAGACAAGTGAAAGTTGTGAGATTATAAACCAATGTGTTTTTGTATAGTGCCCTCAATGCTGTTTGCAGTGTTATAACTGTGGTAAACTGGCTATAAGGCTTATTACAACACTGATATTCAATTCAATGTTTAATTGGTTTAAACAATCAAAAAATGCGTTGCCTTAGCTGGGATTTGGACTCTAGACCTCTCGCATTCTAATCGAGCGGTGTAACCCCTCGACTACGCATTGTTTACTTGTTTATTAAAGATTAAACCAAATGATTAAACGCAAGATTTATATTTGCCTGGAATTTACGTACACAATTACTAAATGTAATAAAAAATCGAGGCAAAAGAAAACAGAATCCTTGAAAATAAACTAATGCAAACATTTGTGCTACATTTTAAAATAAACGTACATTTTTATCAGTTAATCTGTTTTATATCTTAAATGTTATATATTTTCATGAATAAGCACACGTTTTGCCAGTTTTGTAAAATATATTTTCGTAATACCCGAAACGCCGAAAAAATCCATTGTGTATTTTAGTTAAACCCCTTGTTCGCTGTCCGAATTTGGTTCCCGTCATTAGAATATAGACTGGCTCATTGGTACGTTATTTATTACGTAAACAAAATTAGAAAATGATAAACAGAATATGATATACACAGATGGCACTATCACTTCAGTTAAACGATTATTTTAATTCCTTAGGCCTCGGTGACATGCTGTACATCATTAAAGCTATTATTATTAGAAAAATTGAAAACAGTGTGATTTTGTTAAAACAAAAAATATAAACAAAAGCACGACTAACATTTTCCGCATTTCTGAATATACGATTGAATATCTACTAGACGCCCTATTGAATTGACGACAGATTAATCCTTGAATTTGTGCAATGAATGGTTTGCTGGGAACTCCAAGCTGCCAAGCTAAGGTTTTAATCAGAACTTCCTGAAGTGTTTGATGTGGTTAAAATCCTTTATGAAGGAGTTTGCATAAATATTGGCCGTCAGTTCCTATAAAATTGTTTCACAGTTTTTCAATCAATGAACCCATTCTTGAGTTTATTAGAGAAGGAAACAGATACCCACAAATAATTGATTTGTGTGTAACTCTTTTTTTCTGGCAATAGTTTCAGTGGAAAAAATGTGTTGCATGGGCCTTCTATACTGCATATAAAATTTTGGCTCATTTGAACCACCAATGAAAGATTTGAATATGTTTTAATACAACAGTAGACTTTTTCATATTTTGTTATCATAAAAGAAACTTGCAAACTATTATTTAAATACAACTTCATTTTGGCATGCAACACTTCAGACATGAAGAGAAAAATTCAGGCATGTTATGGCAAGTCACTCCTGTACTCCCTAGTGTATTTCAAAAAAGGTTTAAAAAAACAATATCTGCATTCACATATTAATGATGTATGCAGCGTTTTATTAAAGATCGTGCTATTTCTTGTTTACTTCAATGAAAATTTAAAACATCATTATAATTATCATTACATCTTACAAATTCAAAGTGAGACTTTATGTAGGAAAGTATACGATTATGTTATGAACGTTTTATTTTGAAATTTAAAATGCGAAACAAAAACAGTAAAGTTATATTAGTGACACAAATAAATTATAAATCAGTTTTCAGGTTTTATGTGCGAAATTCAGTTTAGATGATACATTAATTTGTTCATGAATTGTTAAAATTATTCAGAAAATTGCATGCCATTGTTAATTTTTAATATGTGATTATGTATAATTGTTAACATACATTTGTTATGATTTACGACATAACACACGTGATTCTCTTTAAAATAATGCTTAACATACATCAGACACGATGTTATTGGTATTTGTTTCAAATCAAGCAGATCTATTTGAATATTTAATACTTATTTATTGAACTTTAATAGAAATATTCAGGTTAGATAATTTCACCGAAATTTTTATTGTATTTACTCATTATATTCGCATTTCTACGGCTGCGTTTTTATTGACGCTATATGTTATAAACGGAAAAAATGTCGTACATTCTTGATATTCAGGGAACTTATAATATGTAATGTGATTATGAATAGACAGAATGGAAATAAAAAAAAAGTGGATTTGTTTAAATCTTTTCCTTTTCCAATGCATTGTGTTATAGCCAGGATAAATGCTACGTACTTATTATTTCCATACTTTTTGTATAATAAACTTACTCGATCTGTCAGTATGTCAGTATATTTGGTAACTTAATTAATATATCGATACAAGAAGCTTTAAATTGACAGAAAATTAAACAAATTTCAATCTAAATTACTTCTGCACCATTGTCTCAGTCTACGGAAAATGGCGGTTTTCGAAGACATCTTAGCGTGGAACTGATAACAATCTCTGATTGGCTTATCTCTGTAACCCCTGCCAGTTTGAGTGACAGGCGGCGTAGTGTCCATTCTAATCGCCGATTGGCTATCTGCTTATCGATGCATCGATTTGATAGACAGCTAGCGTCTGGTCAATTATTCGATAATCTACAGTAGGCGGAACGTCGTAAATTAATTAGCTACTGGCGGGGGTCAATTACGCCACGCGCCCACACAGTAGTCAAGTCGATCATTATTATCAAAGGTGTTTATTGATCAATCTTAGATGAAAATAGGTTTTTGTTTTGCAATTATGCTTGAACAACATTCATCCTAGTCCCAGTACTGATAAATACTTTCTAAAGATAATTTATCCATAAAAAAGATATATTGACAAATATTTTTTTTAAATAATATCTGTCAACACTGATATAGACATCGATATTTAATGTCCATTTTGCTTTCTCTTCTGCATTTTATTTTTTTATTTAGTTTTCAGAGATAAAATGTATATTAATTACGCTAAATGTACTTGCTCTGAAATAATTCCTACTATATTATACAGTGAGCGCATTTTAAATAAATGATTTTTATTTAACTACATTAAATGTTTACCTCAAATAAGTTATTGGTACACTTTCGTACATATACTCGTTATATAGTTCAATACCAAAGAACATTTTTTTCTGGAACGTTTTCATATGGACATATTCTGATAGTAATACCGTCATCTAAACCATGTGCTATGGAACTGGCCTAAATAGGTCTCCAGGTATTGATATCTTTATGTTTATACTTTTACAAATATTTTTAGATAAAGTTGCAGTGCAGATAACAACTTGTCCATCGATATATAAATTGTGTCCCTTTCTTTCAATTAAATATATAAAAACCGATAAACCGATAACCGATAAAAAGGGCGATATGAAATTCAGCAGTCAGCATTTTGGCTTATTGTAAATCCAATAATCGGACGAAAGTTTTTAGAAGCCGAAATTAATGTGGTGACTAAATTATTTATTTGTTAATGTCAAAACAACAAAACCAGTGAATATCTTATTTTCTATATTTTTGTCGTTTACGTGAATGGCTAAAATTTATTCTATATATTGAATATAATATCACAATAGAAGTTTGTTCTAAAATTCAATACGAACATTGCTTTATTTTTTAATAATTTGTAGGATTATATATGCCTACAAAATGGATGTCATGAATTTATTTTAAGTATACCAATCATTTCAGTTTTAATTGTTATTCAATTTATTTTGCTTCGACCAGACCTTTCATTTTTTGTCGCAACAAACAAATATTTCAGATTTTCAGACATGGCATTAAAAAATTAGTATATATATGGTCTTCTTTTTGACAAAACTATGCGATTTTCTTAATAACGAGCAGAAAAAAAGAAAAAAAATGATTAGTGCTTTGAATATTCAACTGAAATAGGGAGCAATTGTCAAGGCTGATTTTGTACATAACCGTTGATTGTTCGGCGTCTTTGATGTGCAACATCACCATTAAATTTGTTTGCATTTAAGACACAGATTGTCAAAAAATCAAAATGGAGCGAACGCTTGCTTCAATTCAGCGATCTTTTATTTAAAGAAAAAAAATAGATTTAATGAATAAACGTAAAAGGTATATTAAAAAGTAAGTCAAAGCTAGATAAAAAATTATGATAATTTGGATTTATTGGTTATTATTTTGGTAATTAATGATCCAAAAATACTTACAGTTATTATCTAACTTCTTTCTTTTATTTGTATAACAATAATGTGAAAAATTACTACTTGAACACTCAGTGAAAGACACCAAAAGCCAGTGCTCAAAATTCAAGAAATGCAGTGCAGTATTTCAAAATTTTCTGAGGGGGCATGCCCTGCCGCCCCCTAATATGCCTGTGACATCAAATATTATTACATGTATTATGAACCCTAGCCCTGTTCTCTGAACTTCAGTTTTTAATATAAGCCGCTCATAATTATTTCCAAAATTAAAGGGAGCTTATCACGACATAAGATCAATAAAATGAAGCGTGCGTGATTTAGTGCCCTTATAACCTATTTTTAGAACAATCTAAAAGGGATAACCAATTATCGGGATAGACAAAGGGAAGCAACCTGTAGATCTTAAATATGTAACTTAATTCAGTTATAAAAATGATAACTGCTTTAAGTTACACCCCTGACTGGTTAATATCACATGCTGTGCTCTTGTTCCTGACTTTAATGAAAACTTTTAGAATATTCATACTAATTAACTACTTGGTTCAATAACAAAAAATATTCAATATTCTGTTTTAAAATATCTGTTATAAATATGCCAATTCATGTTGTTTTTAAAGGTTGTAAATCAGCCACAAACTGGCAGAATATTTTTCCAGCCGAGACACCCAGATTATATGATTTCATCTATTCTTGCTTGCCTCTGTTGTTTTTGGCCTACTGGAATTTGCGCCATCTATTACGCGAATGAGGTAAGTTTAATGTAAATAGCGTTATAGAATGTTTTCTGCCTGACAGGTCATTAAAAAGTTTACTTTAAGATCTCTCAGTGCCGTTAATAACAAATGTTTTAAGTGTAATATAGCTTTTCATGTTCAGTTATAAAGGGTAAGCATTAGGTCAGTTATTACGGCATTTGATATGACCGTGACTTCATGTCCGGATCTTACATTTGATCTTCTATACGATTTCATTTTAGGTCTAAATGTATAAAATAAGATATGTGAGCTACTTTCAGGACTATCGTTAGTAGGATCCCTTCAAGTAAGCTAGGTATATTTATTTACGTTATAAGCGTTATTCCTTTTTAACGTCCAGATGTTATAAAGTGCTTTACAAGCTTTACAGAACTGTTTAAGTAATATTTGTTTTCTTATATGGTATTTATAGGCAAACAATTTGGCGAGAGCTGGTGACTCTGCCGGGGCAAGAAGAATGTCTGACAAAGCCAGGAGGCTAATGATAACCAGTGTGGTCGTTGGAATTATTTTGCTGATCTTTGTTGTGGTCTTGCGTTTGACCGTAAATCCCAGTAACAACAGTTCCAGCTATGGATACTAGTGTACTTGTAACGACGCCTACCTGTGCATTGAGATGACAATTACTTTTACACTTATAATTACACTTTCTCTTGTCCTACTATTACGAGACATATAAAAAAACCCATCAGTGACTGTTTCGGTCATCATATGTTTATAAAGATTCTGCAACAGTACAGAACATGGTGAAATCTATCACCTTGCATACTCATTTATTGGATAAGGATAAATCTATAAAGGTTTGATTGCATGCCCATTGATTCTAATTTTATTTTCATCAACATCTAATTAGAAGAAAGGCTGGAATACTAAGAACATTTCCATTAGTATATATAAATCAGATGATCATTTTCTTTACATTATCATTGCTTTTTAATATTTCATTTGTTTGTATTCAACTGAGTGACAAACCTGATCAGTAATGGCGCTAAATATAAAAATGTCTTCCATGTATTGCTGCAGCAATATAATATAACTATGAAACACATTTTAATGTCAATTTTAGATTGCTATCAGGTTTTTAAAACTTCTAATATTTCTTAGAGGTCAATTCGGCCTAAAATGCTACTTTTTCTTCTCACTTCATAAAACTGTTTATTTTTGGTGTCCGGTTATAATTTTCTTAAACGGAACTGTTTGCAATATAATAGCTGAAGCATATTTTTGTTCTTTTTTTTTAATTGTCGTCACTACTCCGTAGAGGCGACACAAAAACCTTTCAACGTCTATTTCTACAGAACTTATTGATGGATGATCACCAAACTTTGTCTGTAGCATTCTTAGGTAGTCTTTTATCAAGTTTGGTAATATTATTTTGATTGGCCCCTTTTATGGGTCTCTAGGGCTGAAAATAGAAAAAAAACCTTTAAACATCTTCTCCTACAGAAGTAATTAATGGGTGATCACCAAACTTTGTCTGTAGCATTCTTGGGTGGTGTTTTATCAAGTTTGCTCATAATAATTTGATTGGCCCCCTTTTAGGGGCCGCTAAAGGTAAAAATAGAAATACCGTTAAATGTCATTTTCTAGAGAACTAATTGTAGGATGATCACCAAACTGTGTCTGTAGCATTGTTAGGTAGTTTTTTTATCAAGTTTGCTAATATTATTTTGACTGGCCCCTTTTAGGGGCCGCAAAAGCTAAAGATAGAAATACCTTTAAATACATATTCTACAGAACTAATTGATGAATGATCACCAAACTTTGTCTGAAGAATTCTTTGGTTATCTTACATCAAGTTTGCTCACATTAATTTGATTGGTCCCTTTTAGAGGCCGCTTAAGCTAAAAAATAGAAAAACCTATGAACATCTCCTACTTTAGAACCAATTGATTGATGATCACCAAACTTTGTCTGTAGCATTCTTGGGTACTCTTTTATCAAGTTTGCTCATATTAATTTGATTAGGGGCCACTGAAGCTAAAAATAGAAAAAACCTCCAAACATCATTTCCTACTGAAATAATTGACAGATGATCACCAAACTTTGAAGCATTCTTAGGTAGTCTTTTATCAAGTTTGCTCATATTAATTTGATAAGCCCAGTTTAAGCTAAAATGCCCCAGGTCATGGCATTTCTTCAAATTTTTGTTTAATCATATTCTATGCTCAAGTTTAATATGACAATATATTAATATTCCAACACTGAAAAGCAGTTATTTCTGGTGAGCTACTCAGGGCCATCAATGCCCACTTGTTGTTTTGTTGTGTGTTTTTTTTGTTCAGTCTGTAAAAAAGCAACAACACTTCCTTTGAAAAACTGATTTTGTTAAATGTGTTATTCCCCGAGCAATACCTGCCTTTTGCAAATTTTTAAGTTGAAAAGCAATAACAGCAATATCAGCCCAAGTAAAAGTGTACAACACAGCGTTCGTAAGACAGCCTTTCATCATTCCATGTTAACCAAACTCCTAGCCGTTTTTTAAATGTTTACAAATCTGTCAACGAATATTTTTAGTCAGTAACAGTCCCGAAATAAGTTTTCTTTCTTATAAAAAAATGTACGACTAACAAATTAAAATGATATTCCTCTGAATCAAACACAATTATTCCCCCCCCCGTGAAACATAACTTTTTAAAAAGGCGGCCACTTAAATTACACAAAGCCTGGTCCAGTATAAATTCGCTGTAAGTAATGGAAATAAGGCCGGATGGTGTGACTGTTTCTTCAACTAGAATAGTTTCTTTTTATTATTAAAACAAGCAATAATTCATATCTTTTGAATAAAACAATTAATATCATCGCCATTTAACATTGATTATCGAACTAATTTTTCATCTAAAGTTAACACTCGTCATATTTGTGAGAAAATCGTCACAAAAAGAGGCTATCAGTGGGGGAAACAAATTTTAATATCAAAGTATATATATTTAGGAAATTTCATTTAAACGTCTTTATTATGCAAAAATAATAAAGAAAATGTGTTTGGTTTTTTTGTATGATGCAATTTTATTTCATCTCGTGAACTTTAAAAACAGTATTCTCAGGAGTGGCTACGCAACTTCTTATCTCTTAATCACTAATCACTTCTGGTATTTCAATCACAGAAACAGTTTTTAATTAATTCACTATACATAATATATGTTAAGAATCCCAAAGCTGCCCTGTTTGTAGGAATGTAATAAAGGAATGTAATAAACTTTCATAGAGAAGACGGAACAGAGTAGACAGAATATAAATTTCATTATATATCATATATGTTCAGTTAAACATAAACAGGAAAAAGATTTCTTTTCTTGTGTTTAACCACATTTGTAAAATGATAATGATGAGGAATATTGTTTGATGTTTCCATAGTTGATAAGTTGGAGCTAAAATTAAGGTTGAGTATACCTTCAAATGCTATTACTACAGTAACTGACCGTTCAAATGCTGTGTCCCTCTGAGTTATTTTGATGTATGTTGTGCTGTTTTTAAGTTGTGACCTCTATTCATAATATTTCATCAACGGTTAGTATTACCATCCGGATTAAAATTTGACCACCGTGTTCACTCCCCTTTCCATTGCACCTATACCCATTTTCCTTTAATTCCCTTTTTTCCACCCAAACGCCCCCTTTTTTAAATAAATGAACGTTCTCATTTAAAATCCTATGTTTTGCCTAATTTCATTGTAACGGTTACCCATTTACCTCATATAGGCGTATTTTTACTGTTTTTCACCCCCATCTATTTTGAGGCCTCAAAACTGAACAAATACCCTATTTATGTCCCAAACACTGTTGTTTGTTCAAGACATGTTATAAAAAAGTGATCACTTAATCGGCTCCGACTCCTACCCAAAAGGTACATCAACGGAGTGTCAGAGGGGGTGTGCTTCATTTTGTTTGGGGGTTTGAAGGGGGCCATAGCCTCCATATCGTCAATAATATTTTGGACTTGAGAGGGGCTAAAATGGCCTCAGGTCAATGTAAGGGTAACGTGTAAAAACGCTGAAAAGATTTTGACTCTGTCTCAATCCATTGAGAAATTGCAGCATTTTGAAATCAATTTGATGGATAAAACAATGCAAAATACAAATATTGGCAATTTTGAGACGCCCTCCGTTGACATAGTAACAGCAAATTCAAGATTAAGCATGTGTTACAAAGGCTCTGATAAAGTTAACATTTGTGCCAAGTTTGATCAGTATTGAAGCATGTTTTATAGATTCATAGCAGTTTGATCTTGTAAGAGGAGGCTTTTCAATGAAAATAACATTTTTTCGCAATATGCTCATGTGGTAAAATGTTAATGATGCACACATTTTTTGTTTGTTCCCGGGCTAGGTGACTTACCGATATACATATTATGGCTGTTGGAAGCTTCGTTCACTAATCACTAAGTGTCGCTCCATCGTTAGTTTTTTATTTTTATTTTTTTTTGTGACGTTAAAATCCCCCCCCCAAAAAAAAAAACAACAACAAAGAACATTCAATCACAGCTGGTTTGCTTTGATTCCTGGAATCTACCTGCTTTTTAAAAAAATAATTAGATTTTTAGTTTGTGCGATAGTGTATACTAGTTGCATCTTAGTTTGAAAGTGTAGAAATAATTTTCATTTAAATGTTTGGGATTATAGTTCATAATAAGTGGTTATGCCAGTATCTATTCAGCGAGAACATAGAATAAATATATCTTAAAAAGCAAGGTATTGTTAATAGAACATTATCTTTAACCTTGTATTACAAAACAATTAAAACATGTACCGGGTATTGCAATTATTACATTTAACATTTCAATTAACAATTTATTGGTAATGTGTGTACTCATAATGTAAAAGTACTTTTGAAACGTTTTTAAGTAAAAGTCTACCACGTAAATAAACTTAAATGCATTTCTGGCATTTGAAAAAAAAAAATCATGAAATGATTTAATTTATATAATCTAGTGAGGACTCTATTAGTCCCCTACCGGTTTAACAGAAAAACTTATCACACTACAGTTACTATGATACGGAAACTAGGAACTCAAAAGATTTAAGTTCATTCGTATCAATACATTCATTCACTCAAGGGCATAATTGAATGGCCAATGGACCTTCTGTATGTTGCTTGGGTTCTACCTTATAGGGGACTTATGGATTGCGTGCAATACTATGATAATTGCTTGTTGATAAAAACCATCTATCCTATAATTCCTACACTAAACGTTTATTTAATTTATTACGTTTACAGGCAATCATATTATTAAAAGCACTGATTATTGAGATGCCTCTAACGAAAAAAAAAAACAGAACATCTGACCGAATAAGTATGTGAGAAGTCAGCAGTGAACAGTGAGCTAAGTAAAATTGCATCACAATTTATATAGGGTAATCAATGTTCTGCTAAAATGCTCAGTTAGCTAAACAATCACGCGGGACATTCTTGAGCTCTGCTGGAATACTTAACTAGAAGAACAATTTGGCGGGGCATTCCAAAATATAGTGTAAAAATGCTCTGCTGGAATACTCAGCTGGCTTATCAATATAACAAGGCATTCCTAAATATTGAGTAAAAATGGTCCGCTGGATTTCTCAGATGGTTTGTTAGTAAAGCAGGGCATTCCTAAATGGTCTGCTGGAATACTTGGCTGACTAAACAAACAGGCAGGGTAGTCTTTAATATATTATGAAAATTCCCCGCTGAAATGCCGAACTGATATAGTAATCTAGCGTGGCATTCTTAAATAAAATGGTAAAAAAATGTCCGCTGGAATGCCGAGTTGGCAGAGTTATCTAGCAGAGCATTCTGAAATAAAGTGTTCAAAGCCTCTGCTAAAATGTTGTGCTGGCTAAGCAATTTAGCAGAATGTAAAATACTATTTTAATTTTAAGAAATAAGTAGCGTATCAAAATAAATTGTAGCGCACCAAAGAATGACTACAGTCTTTGAGGTAATTGTAATAACATTTCACAAATTTATTGCCTGGTTTAGGCCTGAAAACGGGATAAGTGTTTGATCTGAATTTTCCCACTCGGACTTCTCCGCGACCTGAAACTAAATATATAAACTTTACCACAAGCTCTGTAGCTATTCTTTGGTGTGCTACATTAAATTTTGACACTCTGACTATTTCTTATAATAAAATCGTATTTTATTCTTGAGTCGACGGATTTTTTACTAAAAATGTTCCGATTGGGAACATTCAGCAGGTGCGCGATGACGTAGTATCCTACCATTGTATTTCCTTAAAGAAAT